GTCCGTGCTGTTCATTCTGGACCCTATTTTGAAATTGTCATATTTTTTAATTTTGGTGAAATTGGCCAAATTGCAAATTTCTGGCCACGTTATTGAGTAGTTGAAATCGGTAAATGGGCAGTTTCTTGTACTCAATCGACAGAAAAATTGGCGTTCTAAAGAAATAGCTATGAGTTTGGTCGATTGGAACAATGGAATTAGCCACAAACCGGGCTCAAAGTGGGCGAAATCGCCGATTCGTAAACATCGCCGAGGTCACTAACTTCACAAGAGCGTAATTCCGTCAGTTTTCCATCAAATTTCGTTCTTTTGGCGTCATTACAATTGGGAAAAGATTCTCTATTATTTCATAAGAAAATTTATTTTTTTTTTTTTTTTTTTTTTTTTTTTTTTTTTTTTTTTTTTTTTTTTTTTTTTTGGAAATTTTGCGACACCAGGAGACACCTCAGGATTTGGGGTTGTGACAGTCAAGCGGTTAATAAAACTCAACTCCCTCGAAATTCGCTCTGGCAAGTCTGAAGGATGAACAGGTGCATTGTCTAATACCAGGAGGCACTTAAGGTCAAATTTATGTTCCAGGAGGTAATTTTTCACAGTGGGGCCCAACACATGGTAAAACCAGTCATAGAAAATGTCCCTAGTGACCCATGCCTTACTGTTTGCCCTCAACATCACACACAAATTAGCCTTGACGACATTGTTTTTCCTGAACACTCTGGGAGTTTCAGAGTGATACACAAGTAGAGGCTTCACTCTGCAATCCCCACTAGCATTACTACACAACATTAAGTAACCCTGTCCTTCATAGGCTTGTGCCCTGGGAGTGCTTTTTCCTTCTGTGTAATGTAGGTCCTGTTTGGCATTTTCTTCCAAAACAGGCCTGTTTCATCACAAACACTTGTTGGGGTTGCAATCCTTCAGCCTCTATGTACCCCTGGTATTCCTGCACATATTTTTCAGCCACTTTTTTGTCCGAACTGGCAGCCTCACCATGCCTTATCACACCATGTATGCCACTATGATTCTTAAATCTCTCAAACCAACCTTTGCTGGCCTTAAATTCACTCTCATCACTAGTTGCAGGCATTTTTTTTAATTAATTCATCAAGCAACTGCCTTGCCTTTTCATATATGATCGCTTGAGAGATCCTATCTTCTATCTGCTTTTCATTTATCCACACCAACAACAGTCTCTCAACATCTTCGAGTACTTGTGATCTGTGTTTCGAAAAGATACTTGCACCTTTTGCAACAATAGCTTCCTTGATTACCTTTATGTTGGCCAAGACAGTAGCAATGGTTGATTGGGGTTTGTTGTACAACCTGGCCAGCTTGGAGACACATACTCCACTGTCATTTCGATTGTAATTTTCACCCTTTTTACCACAAGGTTGACACTAGAAAGCTTTCTTTTGGCCCACGGTGGCTTATTTAGCAGTTACAGTGGACCCTCAGCTAACGATTGCATCAGCTAACGATACATTTTAACGCAAAAATTTTGCCTCACCTAACGCTAAAAAACTCACCCAACACGATTCGTTCAAGAAGCGTCCACATGTGGCCTGAGTGCGCCTCAGTTGTCCCATGGGTGCCAGTGTTTACAAGCCAGCCAGTGGGGGTCGCATCCACGCATACAATCGGAGCATTTCATATTATCACAGAGTTTTTTAGCGATTGTGCAGTGGTCCCTCAATAATCGTCCGGCCTGAAAGTTGTCCATTTCGGAAATAGTCCTGTTTTTTTCGTCAAAATATTGGCTCGCAAATGGTCCGGTAACTCGCTAATAGTCCTTTGTCCTGGATGCGTACTCACGCTCTGAGCCACCTCGGCCTTTCCTTCCCAGCCAGTGTGCCATTGTTTACCAGTGAGCGACGGTCCCCTCACGTGCCCCAGCTGCTGCTATACACCACCGTCAGCTGTTGCTGCACCATGGTCAGCTGTTGCTGCACCAGTCAGCTGTTGCTGAACCATGGTGAGCTGCTGTTGCACCACGGTCAGCTGCTGCTGCTGCACCACGGTCAGCTGCTGCTGCTGCACCACGGTCAGCTGCTGCTGCACCACAGTCAGCTGCTGCTGCACCACAGTCAGCTGCTGCTACACAACCATCATCTGTTGCTGCACAATGGTCAGCTGTTGCTGCACCAGTCAGCTGTTGCTGAACCATGGTGAGCTGCTGTTGCACCACAGTCAGCTGTTGCTGCACCACAGCCCAGCTGTTGCTGCACCACAGTCAGCTGTTGCTGCACCACAGTCAGCTATTGCTGCACCACAGTCAGCTGTTGCTGCACCACAGTCAGCTGTTGCTGCACCACAGTCAGCTGTTGCTGCACCATGATCACTGTTGCTGCACCACAGTCAGCTGTTGCTGCACCACGGTCAGCTGTTGCTGCACCACGGTCAGCTGGTCCTAGTGGCATTAAAAGAAGAAGGGAAATAACCCTGGAAAAGGACGTGCTACCTAAAGTCCTAATGAAAGGGGATTCCCCTTCTAAACATTAACAACTTCCATACTCTCCCCTCCTCCCATCCCATCAATCATCACCAGATCTTCAATAAAGGTAAGTGTCAGTTTGTGTGCATCAAAATTAATATTTCATGTGGTAAAAATTTTTTTTTCATACTTTGTGGTGTCTTGCATGGATTAATTTGATTTCCATTAATTCTTATGGGGAAAATTAATTCAGCTAATGATAATTTCAGCTAATGATGAGCTTTCAGGAACGGATTAATATCGTTAGCTGAGAATCCACTGTACAAGCACTAAAAACACTGGAATCATGCAAAATGTACCGAATGTATTTGTGGAAGCAACCGCACTGGCTTGTAAACATTGGCACGCTAATTGAAGGTAGGCAGCTAATGCACGCTCAGGCCAGAGGGACACGTGGACGTGTTCGGGATGAATGATATGTAGAGTTTTTGTTCATAGGTCAGGGGAATTTTTTTACGTAGAAACGCTTCGTAAGTCGATTTTATCATTAGATGAGGCCTTCTAAGTCGTGGGTCCACTGTATATAGGAGAAGGGGTAACTAGCCCCTTGCTCCCAGCATTTTAGTTGCTTCTTACAACACGCATGGCTTATGGAGGGAGAATTCTGTTCCACTCTCCCATGAAGTTGATGAAGAGTTGTCAGTAGATAATAAATGTAATGGAGTTCTCGAAACTTGCATAATGTTTGTTTTACCCTGCAGTACTTTGTCAAAAGCAAGCAACCCAAATCAGTGCATTGTTGAGAGTAAAGGCTTGCTGATTGGTGGTGTTAAAGTGCAAGTGCATGGAGAGAATTAGCATGGTTCAACACAATACAAATCTGTGAGTGGTAGTAGGAGCTACCATCACCTACTTTCTTCATTCGTAAATGACGATTGTACAGGAGTTCTCAGGTATTATGTAATGCTTCTATACACCATTTTACACTATACAGTGGACCCCCGCATACCGTTGGCCTTACATAACGTTAAATCCGCATACCAATATATTTTATCGCTAAGATTTTGCCTCGCATACCGCTAAAAAACCCGCTCAACGCTGTTCATCCGAGACGCGTCTAATGTGCGGCCTGAGCCAGCCTCACATGTTCCGCCGGTGGCATTGTTTACAAGCCAGCCTCCGCGGTAACATCCAAGCATACAATGGTAACATTTCGTATTATTACAGTGTTTTTGGTGATTTTATCTGCAAAATAAGTGACCATGGGCCCCAAGAAAGCTTCTAGTGCCAACCCTGTGGTAAAAAGGGCGAGAAATACTATCGAAATACTGTGGTACCATGGTCAACTGCTGCTGCTGCTGCTGCTGTAGCACCGTCAGCTGCTGCTGCTGCTGTAGCACCGTCAGCTGCTGCTGCTGCTGCTGTACCACCGTCAGCTGCTGCTGCTGCTGTAGTACCGTCTGCTGCTGCTGCTGCTGCTGTAGTACCGTCTGCTGCTGCTGTAGCATCATCTGCTGCTGCTGTAGCACTGTCAGCTGCTGCTGCTGCTGTACCACCGTCAGCTGCTGCTGCTGCTGCTACTGTTGTAGTACTGTCTGCTGCTGCTGTAGCATTGTCTGCTGCTGCTGTACCATTGTCTGCTGCTGCTGCTGTAGCACTGTCAGCTGCTGCTGCTGCTGTAGCACTGTCAGCTGCTGCTGTTGCACCGTTGTTGGTGTGGCTTATTGAGAATACCAAGAAACAATTAACCCCAGAGGGTTAGCAACCCAGGATAACCCAAAAAAGTGTCATCGAAGACTGTCTAACTTATTTCCATTGTGGTCCTTAATCTTGTCTCCCAGGATGCAACCCACACCAGTCGACTAACACCCAGGTGAACAGGGAAAAACGCCTGGAACTAGTGCTCATATTGGTGAATTTAAAGCCAGCAAAGGTTGGTTTGAGAGATTTAAGAATCGTAGTGGCATACACAGTGTGATAAGGCCTGTTCTGGAAGAAAATGCCAAACAGGACCTACAGTACTCAGGAGGAAAAGGCACTCCCAGGACACAGTGTCTCATCAGTCATTGCTGCATCTTCAATAAAGGTAAGTGTCATTTATTCTTCATTTAGTAGAGTAGTACATGCACAATATATATTGTGCATGTACTACTCTACTATTGTGCATGCATCCTTCTCTTTGTGTGTAGGAAAATGTATATTTCATGTGGTAAAATTTTTTCTTTCATACTTTTGGGTGTCTTGCACGGATTAATTTGATTTCCATTATTTCTTATGGGGAAAATTCATTCGCATAATGATAATTTTGCATAACAATGAGCTCTCATGAACAGATTAATATCATTATGCGGGGGTCCACTGTACTACTTTACCAATGATAACAGCAGACTGATGCTTATCTTCCCCAAAATTTACATCATGCTATTCAAAATTGGGTGGCAATATCTCAATCATGCTATATGCTTGAGTTTCTAGCAAGTACATTTTATCACAATATACAAAGACCTGAGAAAATATATTTAGATATTCATGAAATAAAATATAACTTTGATATGTTAAGATTACTTACCTAAAAATGTTCCTAACCAAAATGGCCAGAGAGGCACATTAATAATGGGGCTAGTGATGTTGATGAACCAATTTGGGAGGAAGGGCGTGATACGTAGGAAGATGATGTAGAATAACAGGTTATCTCTCTGCTTATCTACCTGGAAAAACAAGTATTTATTGCTAGGTTCCTTGAGTTAAGCTGTACAATAATATCCAAAAAACATTTATGCTACATTTTGTCTCTGTGATAATGGCAATAAATTTTGAACAATATACATCCTCTCCTCACTTAATGACAGAGTTCCATTCCTAAGACCACATGGCTAAACAAATTCATCGCTAAGTGAGGCGCATACTATAATAGTAGTGAGTTTGTTTCAACCATCGTTGATATTGTTTTGTCACTTTTCTGGTATATTTTTATAAGTTTATACAGTAGTGTACTGCATATTGAAATAAACAATAGAGGAAATCAGCTGTAATACATTATTTAGGTATGAATACTGGTTGGTCAAAGAGCCCATCGTAAGTCCCAGGCATCAGAAAATGAGTACATCGCTAAGTGAGGAGAGGCTGAAAAGTAGATCAACATTCCATGTTTTCAAATATTCTGCAATACTACTGACAAATTTGCCCACTACTTCAAGTGCAATAAGATGTCCACCAAAAATACACAAACAGAAAACTAGTTACCATAAACTGAATAACAAAAAACAGAAATTTTCAGTAACCATTAAGATGGATAAAAGAAACACTTCTGGTAGTTTCAAACATACAAACATGTTTTATCACAGAATATTAATAGAAAAAATGCATTTCTTCTCTGTAAGTCCTCATCCATTGCATAAAACTGAAAAGTTTTTTTTAAAAAGTAAATAGGAGAGTACAAAACAAATCTAATGAAAATCTGAGTTAGGAACTTACAGTGAATTTTATGCTTCTCTGTAGATGTGAGGGTCCGGTAATGTAGATGTGTAGAGATCATTGATTATAGTATAATGAAATGGTAGGCATGTCTTTGCGAGGGAAGAATATGTTATTGATGGTAGAATGTTAGTGAAGTTTAGTAATGGTAGATATGTAGTGATGGAAGATGTATATTATGGTATATTGTAGTGATGGTACAATCAAGTTATAGTGATGAGAGATATTGCAGTGATGTAGATAAGTAGTGAGATAGATGATGTTGTGCAGTAGACATGGTATATATGTGGTCTCATGCTGGAGATGAAGATTATAAAAAGGGTAGATGTAAAGTGAAGTGATGGAGAAGTTGTAGTGTAGTGATGGTATGATGTGTACTGATTGTTGATGTGTAGGTAGTGGAAGGTAGATTTCTGTTAGTGTAGCAATGGTAAATCTATAGTGAGTGATGGCAGTAGAGATTGTATAGGTGTAGTGCATTTAGGATGTGTAGTGAATGTATATATGGGAAGTGATGGTAGCTGCATTGGGTACTAATGGAAGATATGTAGTGATGTAGATGTGGTATTGAAAGATAGATGTGAATGATGGTAGAATGTAATGATCGATAAGATGTGTACAGATGGTAGATGGTGAAGTGATTGTAGATGATTAGTGTATTAAATGGTGTTTAGATGTGTAAATATCGTAGACCATGTAGTATGTAGATGAGTAGTGTGCTGATGGAAGATGTGTTATAATTGTAAAGTGTAATGATGTTAGATATGTAGTGCGCTATGGTAGATTTAATAGTGTAGTGATTGTAGATTGTTGTAAGTGTAGAGATGGTAGATGTGTAATGAATTGTAGATATGTAATGTATTGACCTTAGATCTGTAGTGAATATAGTAGATGTATAGTTTATGGTAAAGTGTAGTCTCATCAGCTAACATTTCTCCTCTAAAAAAAAATTAAGTTTAGTAAATATTGCATAATTATTTTTTTCCAATATGTAGTTTTAGAAAAAAAACCAGTGAAGAAAAGATTAAGATAGTGTAAGTTTTAAAAAGTATAAAAAAAAATGAATTCCTTCTCTGTAAGTCCTCATCTAATGCTAAAACTGAAAAAGTTTTAAAAGTAGATAGGCAAGTACAAATAAAATGTAATGAAAACTGATGAGGGCCTCAATCCTCGTGTATAAACCTTGAACTAATGCAAGTGTTTACCCTGTACATAAAACGTAATCCCAGTGAGTAATAATTCACTCAATAAAAGAGAACCTTTGATATTGCTCACTTTGATTTAAAGAGAACCATTAAAAGATCAATGATGTGTGTTCTCTTATTTGGGTATTTGTTGTCCAATTATATTTTGATATTGTTGTTAGCCACAGCATCAACCTTTTCGGTAAACACGGATATCATGATGGGTGACAGCTTATCTTCCCTCTTTTGGAACACAATTTCGACCTGATAACGTTCATCAGTTGACGGATTTGTTTGACACCCGACAGCAACCATAAATTTCTTTTGTTGTTCAGGTACAGATAGAAATCTTTCAACTGGCTTGTTTTTCTCTTTTTCCCCCTAATAAGTTTCAACTGACAGTAACAATTTTTTGTATGTCTTGTGTGGCAAGTCGACCATCTTCTACTAATCCTTTTTACAACGAACTTTGCCATCAGGGTCATTCTCCATGGAACTGTGGACTTGGACATCATACAGTTTTTCATTATTTTCGCAACTCTGTCACCATTATAACCAATGACCCAACTTACGGTATTCATATGAATATCTATCACTTTCGTAACAATAATTTACTGTATCTATATGTTTTCCGATAGAATGGTCTTAATTGTGGCAACAGCATTCCTAACATAATTCTCGTTTGCCCATCTATTGCAACTATTTGGTGGGGTTCGTTGCTCTGCGGAAATGAGCTGTTACTTAAATCCTTCAGAGATGGGTTAATGTTGGCTTCCCCCAGAACCCAGATCACCTTCGAAGGTGGTGGGGCCCACATCCACATTCTCCAACAACATTGTCATTTTTCAGCTTGTAGCTAATAATTATTTTTTGCATATTCTCTGCTGCAGCATCAACGATTTCCTGTAAGCCAATTATTTTGATGGTGATTCATAATCTTCTCTCCTGGGAACAACATTCGACTTAATGGCTCTCACGAGTTCTCGAGTGTTTTTGTCCATCAATACAACAATCAGTTTTCTATCATCGCCAGGAAATAGAAAGGTTTCTTTCAAAACAAGCTGGCTCTTATTCCTTTTCATCTATACCTTTTCCTATACTGCCACAAAATTTTTCCTATATACTGTAAAGCATGATCGAACATTTAACAATATCCCCCCTTCACACTACTGATCCTCAGGGTCGTTTTTGCAAAGGAACTATGATTCTAAACATTATACAATTTTCTTAATATTTGCCACTCTGTCACCAAGTGAAACCTATGAACCACATGACGATCTCCTTGGAACCTCTACGGTTTTCGCAACAATGTAATGTTCGATCAACAATATTCTGACAGAGGGTCTTTATAGCAGCAACAGCCTACTCACATTTTCTGGAGTCCTTCAATAGAAAATAAACAGTCGGGGTAGGGTCATCTCTTTTTGGAATACAGCTGTAACTTTAAAATGTTTCACGAGATGGATAAGGTAGTTTCCCCCATTAACCCAGATACCTTTCGACGGTCTGGGGCCACATCGAGTTTCTCACAGACTTTAATCAGATCTTAGAAGAAACTCACCTTTGGTTCTGTGTTTTTAAATACAAGATTCGCTCTTATTAAGCCTGTTCATTTAATTTACTTATTATTCGCCTGACGGCTTTTTGTTTTAAACTCTTTGTCCAGGAAACTGTCACACACCCCTTTCGTCTTTTTCAGTAAACATCATACCCTTCTTCAAGATGGAGGGACCAGACAATCATAAATAAATTTTTTCTTAATTTTTATCCCTTGATTAAGGCATATTCCTTCTAATAACACCCTCATTTTTTTTAGAGTACTTGTTTTGATACAATCTTGTTCAAGACTAGGCTGAGTGATATACTTTTCATTAGAAAATAACTCCTCACGAAGAGATACTGTCGATCCTTGGGAGAATTTTATAGTACCTCTAAAGGAGCCAGTGCAGAAAATTAACCAACAACATATCCTGCTACAACTCGGATCAGCATAATATATTTCACCATATGGTAAATAGAGCGAAGCATGAAAGATCAAAGCTATAAATGAATAACAGCTTCCTACCAATATCACTAATATTTTTACTCTCTCAATCCATTTCAATTAAAAAATGTTTAAGAGATTTAATACAGAATATAATCCCAAGGGAGCAAGGTAACATGAAATATATCAGAATAATATAAATAGGTAAGAAAGAATATCTAGAATAAAAGAATAGTATAGGAAACCATGAATAAATAGCATTTAGGGAATTTTACAAAATAGCCATGTGAGTCCTGTAGGTTATGGTGTATGGTACAATTACATTGAAAGAATTAGGGTGAATAAGGTTAGGACTGAATGTAGGGGGAAAATCTACAAAGACGGGAAGTGCATAGCCAAGTTTTTAATATTGGCTCCGAGGTAAAAAGCTCAGTTCCCTGAGGCACAAGTGGAAAAAAGAAAAAATTAACAAAAGGAAAAAGGTGCATTAGTTTTTTTAAAAAGAACCTCTTGCCCGTTTTTATTTGTTTAACCCAACAAACTTTACTGAGGGTAAAAGGAATTGAGAAACTTTTATTGACTGGGTTTGGTAGGGGGTTTTTTGGGGTTCAGAACGACAAAAAAAAAGTATAAAGGGAAAAAAACCAATCACTAGTAAAAAGTCATTTCCCAACAAAAAATTTGCCCTGAGAACCCTTCTTTTTTTTGCTTCTTGTGGGTGTGTGTGCAGTAAGGGTAGATGGTGTATGATTGATGTTAGTTTGAATGGTAGTGTCTTGTGGGGGAATAATGTTTGAGGGTAGATGTGTGTGGGGGTAGTTTTACAATAGTGTGGTGATGTGTAGTGATGGTAGATATGAAATGATAGTGATATGAGAAGTTTGTATTGGGGGTAGTTTGTGCGGGTAGTTTTGGGTAGGTTGTGTGAGGTAGAAAATTAAGATGATAGATGTTAGCAATGTTTACATGTAAAAATGGAAATGTGTAGTGTATGATGGTAGATCCATACTGTGTGAGGGAAGATGTTAATCATAGATATAATGGGAAATGAATGTTGTGTGGGGAT